CAGAGAAGAAATCAAAACGTTTTTCCTTGATTCCTCCCCATCCAAGAAATTGAAAGCACGCGATTGTGTGTTGTGGAGTAAACAGGCTTTCAAACATGTGATAGAAAAAAACAATTTACTGAGGCTTCATCACACTGATGAACACTCAGGCAAACTTGAGAAATATTCAGACCTTCATCAAATTACATTGTTTGCCACCGCGTCGACAACACGTGTCCGCGAAAGCCGCCAGAGACGTGGAGAGGCGCAGAGCGACCTGTTCTGGCTGGTTCCCGGTTTTCCTGCTTGGTGCTGTCCGTTTTGCTAGGGTCGCGAATATGTCAAGGATATGATTTGTCATTGTCTCAGTAAGACTAATGAATCGCTATATTTACCTAAAAATGCTGGATCTCTCGCACCTATCGGGACGAACGGCAATGTTAAACTACATGCCAACTACTCCGGCGAGTTTGCCCGTCTCTCGACATGCCCTTTTGAATTAAAGTAGATGATTTCCACGAGCCTTTCTTTGAAGTAGGCCTTCTTCATGCAAATAGCTAACCTTGATTATGAGATAACTGGGCCATTTTTGCCGCTTGGTTATCCAGTGTGTTGTAACAGGTGTCCCTTAGGGCAATCAAAGTATTTTTGTTTTGATATAGTTTCCAGATTGAAAATGAAATGAAGACAATTAACGCATTGGTTACAAAAAGTTTTTCTTTTACATGGGCTTCTTGTCTCATGCCTCTGGTTTTCTGGCCACTTGATTAGCTTGGTTTATCTTTTTAGAGGTGATACTTACTTAGTTCTTGTGCTTTTGTTTTGGGTGTTTTTCAGGCTGATTTTCTTTTTTTTTGTTCTCAATAGTGTGTATATATTGCGCCGTTGAGTTCAATGAAAATTTGGTTTCGAGTCAGCGCTCTGTCCGTGTCCTTTACCTTGTCCGTCGTCCTTTGCGCTGTTTTAGCCTTTTAAGCGCTTGCCCAGTTTGGAATTTCTGGATTATCATGTGCAGCTGGTAATTATTTACCCTGTCACTTTACTGTGCTGTTGATTCTCTTTGCAGGTGCTCTAATGAAGGACTCCCCTTCCTGGGTGCATGGTCGACTTACATCACAAGCTGCATGAAAAGTGTGAAGAACATTTCCTAGGCCCGTGACATGCAGCCTCTTTCATCCAGCGCACTCCTCTAGCGACAAGCCCATGATGACCAGCCAAGCTGTAGCTTCACTGGAGCTGACAATAAACAATTACGGTAACAATTTTCTATGTTTTATTTGCTATCATGTGTATGAGCGACAGATGGCTGTGGCAGCCGCTTTACCAATAAAGTGTATACCTATGCCAGAAATTTACTTTCATGTACAGTGCAACATAATTGTTTACACTCATTTGTTGTTAAAATTATTCTTCTTATGAACTACATCATTTCTATTCAGGTGTAAATTGCACACAAAACCACATGTTAGGCTGTATGACAAGACCGGGAACTGTACGATTTTAGCCCGCTAGCCTGGGGTCTTGCTGGTATCTTGCGGTACTGCTGGTAGTGCACCGGGGATTTGTGCTGGCAGCAGCCCGGGAACTCGCTGGGACAAAACAAGCCCGGGAACTGTATGGCTTGAGGCCGCTAGCCTGGGGTCTTGCTGGTATCTTGCCGCGTTACTGGTACTACGCTGGGGATTTGTGCTGGCAGCATCCCGGGAACTGTATGGCTTGAGGCCGCTAGCCTGGGGTCTTGCTGGTATCTTACCGCGTTACTGGTACTACGCTGGGGATTTGTGCTGGCAGCAGCCCGGGAACTCGCTGGGACAAAACAAGCCCGGGGACTGTATGGCTTGAGGCCGCTAGCCTGGGGTCTTGCTGGTATCTTACCGCGTTACTGGTACTACGCTGGGGATTTGTGCTGGCAGCATCCCGGGAACTCGTTGGGACGCCCAGTGCCGGGCGTCCCAGACAGTCCCAGTCACTGGCCAGTGACTGGCAATCTCACTGGCCCGTTGTCGCCCCGCGGTGCGTTTCCAGCGTCGCCCCAGTAGGATCTTACCGGCAGACCGGTACCGCCCCAGTCCCAAACCGGCGAGTTGTGCTACTTGGGAAATGGACAGGGAATAAATAGCGGTAACTGAGAGGAGATTGGAAGATTGCCGGAAAAGATCAAGGGAGGGGTGAAAACGCAGATAAAAATAACCAAAGGTAACACTTTAAAGGGTGAGGGGCTTGTGCTAAAACAAAATTTCTACAAATTAACACAAAAAAGGTGATTAAATGTTAGGCTAGGTGGCACAAGCTGCCGCCCGTTACAAATGGTATAGCCCTTACCATTCAATTATCCGTTTATGGTTTCTGGTGTCTATCATCGACTCCATGAGTTTCTATATTTTTAGCCGGAAAACGTCTGAATCCTCACCGAAAGGCTCCTGGGAGTCCTCACAGATGTTCGAGTAAGTCGCACGGTACGTTCCCCGCCCGTTTGCGTGCTTTTCAAGCGCCCAAGAGATGATTCTCATCATGATGCGGCTGTGAAATCGGGCGGCAGAGAAAAGCTCATCGGAGAAAAGCTCACCGGAGGAAAGCTCACCGGAGATAAGCTCACCGGAGAAAAGCTCACCGCGAAACCGGCAGATGCGGATGACAGCTCACCGGCCTTTGAACGGATGCGGAAAAAAGCTCACCTATTTTTTTTTTTTTTTTTAACTTAGCGGATTCTGCGTCAAACATGGTAATTTAACACAAATCGCATTCGTCACTTCATTAAAAATATATCCTCTTTTTTTTGTGATATTCTTGAAGTTCATTGGGCATATTTACTAAATCCTCACAAATTAGTAATCACCCATTTTGTATATTATTAAGCCGCAAGTAATAAAATCAGGACATCCTACACCGATAAAAAAGAATTTATTGACGCCTGACCAGTGCGCCGTCGGTAGCTCTGTCAAACAAAGAAGTTTGTTCTTAGCGAGCTAACATGAATAGCGGTGTGGTGAATCGTTTCAGCTCCAAATATTGCGTAGTGCCTAATAGATAACTAGGTGTTGATGTAATGAGTGTCGGTTACGCTAATTTCTTTCTTTTAACTTCACTAACGAAATTTCTGTTGCGAGAACAGCTTCGTCCTGTCGCGTTTGTTGTCTTCACGCCGTCGTCGTCGTGTGAGTGGTTTTCATAATGTATAACGTTTATATACTCGCCCTATTCGCTACCTTACAGAAAACTACTTCTTACATAGGTCACGAGTAACAACGGTGACAGCGTGCACCTCTGAAGGTCATGGGTGACTTGCCGTAGAAGGGCACTATCACACAAAGGCAACGTGTGGGAACACCAGCACGAACGGCTAGAAAACGTGCATGTTCGTGTAAGAAAGAAGCCTCGATATCGCACTGACTGTTTTATCCTGTTTTCAAAATTTAACAAAAGCTTCAAAGAGAATTTCAGGCACCGCGTTATTGCGCATGCACTTTCGGATTTTCGGCATTTACAGTTTGGTTTTTAGGTTTTAGGCAGACATTATTAAGTTTTTGAACTTTTTCCTGTTCTTCAAGTTCATAAAGTTTTCAGTTAGGCTTTCGTTGCCTAGACAGTAAGCCACAGAAAACACTCGCCCGCAATCATTAATTTGGGAGCAATATACACAATAAGCTTGACAAATAACACAAAAAATAACATTTTCTTTTTCACAAAGCTGAGGAATTTTAATGATAATAAATTGATATATGTTAGGCATGATTCAACAGCCTCTAATAAAAAGAAAAAAAAATCAGTGAGCTTTTCCCCGCATTCGCTTATGGCCCGTGAGCTTTTCTCCGCATCCGCCGGTTTTGCGGTGAGCTTTCCTCCGGGAATCGTGAAATCAACATGGCGCCCATCTTCCCGCCCGCCTGGGTAACCTTAGCGGCACCTCTCGTGTAACTTTGCGGTGCCCTCTGAAGGTCAGCAGGGGTGTCGGACGCCTTGGCGGATCCGCGGGCCTTCGCTGGATGACAGTATGACGACCAGTCAATGTCAAGGCGAAAAACTTAGTGCGGAGACCGATGCCCTTTGTTTGCAGCCATTGCCAGTGCCGAACGCTAAATCCGCCTCCATCGGCTTAAGTTTTAGGTATCGGACGCCGACCGAAATGGACGGACGACTTCTCACCATCGACAGCACACGGCAAGTGTTATTTATTAATTTTATTTTTTTTTTTTTTTTTGAAAAGCGTTTTTAGTAATCAAGTTAGTTCTTAATGTTTGCTTACATGTGCGTCCAGGCTGCGTTCGGATCCCAGAAGTCGAGCTTAGGAGGAAACTATTTATCCTCTAACTTTAAGCACATCAGTCCTCTGTTTCCTCCGTTGTTGTTGTTTTTTTTCTTTGTTGCACGTGTGAGTATTGTTTGTAGCAAGTGCTTGTCTTATGTTGAGCGTAAAAGTGAATTCTGTGGCGAAATGAAAATATAAAGCTTTGTATAAGCTTTGTATAAAAATAAAAACGCGAGAAGACTGTGGGGATAGAGTTTACCATTGTATCGGTAGTACAGAATTAACAAGTTTTAATTGCAATGTGTGTGAAGTGCTCAAGGCGATTTACAGCTCTCTTTTGTGTGACTAGCATCCTGGGAGGGGTTTCTGGGTTACTTTCAATGAGTGAGCACTATTTTGTGCACTTGCTGTACTAGACGTTTTGAGGTCGGAGAGGGATACTGAATAGGATTATTTAGGAAATATACAGAATGTATTAATAATACAGCGCTATAATGCATTTTAATGTAAGTGAGAAATTAAATTTAAATATCTTCTTGAACGCACCACAACTGCACTTTTAATGCACTTAGAAATACATTTTAATTCGCCTAGAATATATTTTAACCATACTTTAATTGCACCTGGTAATGTATTCGAATGTATTTATAAAATGCATTTTGAATGCGAACGAGAAAATACGAAAAAATGCGCGTACGTATAACACCGCAGACACGATAGTACACTTAAAACATATTTAAAATATAGTATTTTCTCGGTAACGGTGTGTCCGCACTTTACGTTTACTACGTCGCTTTATGGCTCGCCCACGAGTTCGTTGAAGATGATTTCACAGCGTTAGAACACTGCCGAAGCTGCACTAGCTTTCACAGTATAGCAAAAGATAGTCGAAGCAGACTGGAACGGCTCGTATGACTGGCTGGCGTCGCTGGCAGTAACGCGTTCGCGGGTTTATTATTCCATAAGTCTTAAAACTTGATATCGCTTCAAAACACTAGAACCAACATGTTTTTCGTATGTACAGTTTTGCTTTATTTCCGTCAACACGGGGGTCAATACAGGTGCTTCCCGAGGCAATAGGTTCTTTTTACAGAGGGAACTCAGTTCAGGTTTTCGGGCTGGTGGTTCGCCAGCGCTGCCCGGATGAAGATGAATGGTCTTGCTGCTCATATGTCAAGCTCGTACAAGTCGCGTTCAGCCCTTGAGACCCAGTCCGTAGCCCCCGAGCCCTCCCCCGCCGAAGCCTCCGAGATGCACGCCCACCAGATTTCCTCCCCGGCTCAATCCGCTCACGTGGTGAACCGATTTGACGAGGAACGATGGCCCGGGGAGGGACCTGGCATAGCCGTGGCCACCGCCGTAACCTCCACCGAAGCCGCCTCCGAAGCCGCCGCCGTAGCCACCCTTGAAGCCGCCGGCCAGGCAGACGGCGGCCAGGCCGGACACGAAGAGAGCAACGAGCTGCACGGAATCGTCGTTGTTGCTGTACATACGCCTTTCATTTATGGGATAACTCGAGCTTAGCCGTTTAACTGCAATATTCGGGTGGATACTGTGACTGGGGAAATAAATTGGAGAAAATAATTACGACCCTGCAAATTGTTTAATTTTCTTGTTCTTTTCTTATTTGTTGTTTAGCTTGTGTTTTGGTTTTTAACAGCTTATAAATAGAGACGAGATGAGATATAAAGGAATATTCTATATACCAACTGAGATAAGCAAAAATGAGCAGCCTGGCTCCAGCGTCCTAAATTAAACTCCTCCCCCCGCCCCTTTTTTTCGCTAGGCGCTACCGAAAAGGTAACAAAATACATCACTTGTTACTTTAAAATAAAAGGAACGCGTCACCGCTTCTTTTTGTTACGAATAACATTATGCATGCATACCAGTAAAGTATTATGCCTACCTGTAAAGTCTTTGACTTTACAGGCATGCATAAACGCCATATCAAGAGACTTTATGTCCGTCCAGGAAGTGATCATAATTACCTTATCTTTTTTTACGGTTCTACTTTCTTAATTACAAACGAAAAACGTTAAAAAAAGCCCTCAAAAGCTCAGAAATATGTATGGCCTGGCGCCTTGAAACACGGAACAAATTGATGTAAATATGTTTAAGTGTTCGGGAGAATATGCGACGAGTAACGTAACTAAGTTAAAGGTTACTCGAAATAAGTAACGTAGGTACGTTACACGTTACCAAAAACCCAACGTGGTGCCGGTAACGCCGCTACTTGTAGCCGGTTACCGCGGAAATTGAGCAAACGTAGCCAGTGGAGTGAACAGCGCAGGGGTAGGGGCTGACATTTGTTTTCTTCGTGTCCACACAACTGTCCCCCATCCAAACTTTCCACCGCCACTTTCCGTCGCCCTTTAACATCTCAAGAGACTTCCGACGCCTCCTGTCCTTAGCATTTTAAGGATAAAAACCTTGCAGTGAAGCAAAATTTCAAAATTACCCTTTTGCCAATGTGGGTGCATATATTCCTGTTTGAGCGTTTTTACATATAATACCACAACAAATTGGAACTGTGGTCATGCCACGCAGAAAGTTAACAATAATGAAAACAATAAAAATATGAAATAAGTGAAAACATATCCTTTTTTTTAATACATCGGGTTCGAGTTATGGCTAAGTTCATTTGTTGACGACATTTACAAATATATGTAATTAAGCGCGAAACACATGTACGACGAAACCGTCCGATCCGACGTCCGATCCGACGTCCGACCGCGTCTCCGACGTCCGACCGCGTCTCCGGCGAGACACATGCTTCCGACCGAGCTTCCGACGCGTCGTTCCGACGGTTCCGATCGGCTCCGCCCAGTTCCGTGATCCAGTGCGTGTTGCCTGACTTCCTACGATTGCCCTTCTGCTCAATAGAGAATACTAGCGTGCTCTTTTCAGGTTCTAAAACAACACTAAATGAATTTAAATTAAATATAACTTTGTTTGTACACCTCATTAACTTACTCAGAGCTAATTGACTTGCCCATTATTACTTAGGCTACAAGGTTAGAGGAATTCGACGTCAAATGTTGGCAACGGGCTCGGTTCTCGATCTCTATCTCTTCCGCGCCTCGTTCACCTCGTTCGCGCCGAAGTACGCAGGTCGATCTCGCCTCTGACGCGTTGCTCTAGCGATGTTGCACGTTCCGCACCACCGGAGACTCCTTCTACTGAAGAAGAAGCTTCTTCTTCTGCGGGAGCGCAGAAAGAAGCGACAGTGGTGGATTCGCCCAGCGTGGAGACGACGCCACCATGAGAGCGAATATTTCACGACGGTAAGAGCACTTTCCTTTGATTATCAGGACTGTAATGAAAGCGAGACTGTATCCGGGTAATAAGGCTATGCGACAGACGAAATAACTACAAATATGGGAATAGATCTTTGACCCTTCGAACGAAGCGTTGCAAGTGTCCACAACTAATTGACTCACTATTGCGCATCTGAGTGTGGCATCAATTTAGAGTCGACGTGTAGCGCACCGGGAGCTCCCTTTCTGTAATAATCAACATAACCTTTGAAGAGGGCTAGGATGGGCACCGAAGCAGTTGACCGAGAGTCGTGTTTGCTGCTCGCATCGCGAGGGGATGGAACATGTAATTGATTATAGACATTATTTTAACACTGCAGAGTGGGGACAAGGAGGAGAGCACAACACAAGTCTAAAAAAAAATAATGTCTGTACTCAACCAGCTCGCTTGCACTCTTCCTTTAACTTTTAATGTAACTAATATTGATAATATTTGTTCACTTGGTCGGTAGGAATGTTCAGCTGTGCTGGTGTTAGGCGAAAGCTGGGGCCAATGCAACTGATGTGCCCACAACGCCGACCTATATATATTCCTTCTATATATTTACATTTGACAGGATGGAAAAAGCAGCGATAACTTTTAAAGATGAAGGTGATGAGCTGTAAAATGACCAGAGAAGAAAGTAATGAAACACTGTTTGGAAGGTCTTGTGGGTGTGTCCGGGCTATTGACTTTGCCAATTCTCAGCATCACGGGGTATGTGTTTGGCGAGGGCTGTTGACTTTGCCTTCTTAGGATCACAAGGGATGTGTTCGGTGAGGTTTCCAGGTAGACTCCTCCAGAGTGTACTTGCCGTCGGCAGGCGTTCAAGTACCAGATGTCAATGTGCCGCTGCTTTCTGGGCGCGGAGTCAGTGTGTCGGGAGTATGGTTGGGGTGCTGGGTGAGACCTTGGCAGTAGTATGAAGGGTTGCAGGGGGGGGGGGGGGGGGGGGGTTCCAGAGCAAGGATGCGAGAACATTAAGTCATCCAGTGGTGGAAGCTGGCACGACCCGCAAAACAAGTCCTTCGCACTTGCGATGGAGCCATTGGTCACATAGGTTGCATTGTAGGGCTGTCTCATTCTCATGAACTGCCTTCTCGCAGTGAGGGCAGGTTGGACACGGTCTGGGATTTGGGGCGATGTAACCGGTGACCAGTACAAACCACATGATGTGCTGGCAAGGGCAGGACCCCGGCTTTATAGGCCTCTGGTTAGACCCAATAGTGATAAGGCTGGCGTCGACATCCGCACGGGAGGGAGGCTGCGTATTGTGGGGACGCACTATGAATGTTGGCAAAATGTTACCTTAGTTTGGCATACTATGATGTTGCAACACGGGCCTTCACAAGCGGTGCTGCTCTTTAGGAGAAGGCGCAACCATATGCACGAGCATGCCATCACCTTTGGTGTGACTGTAGTCACTGTGAACACGGTGAATGAGCAATTCTACCCACCGTTTTGAAGTGGCAACAATGAGCTTCCTTTTGATCAGAGTACCTGGATTATTACTGTTGACACTTTATACAGCACGAGGACACGTCACTAACAGTATAAACTCGGAGCCGACAACGACAAACGCACTACACCGTCTGTCATCTTTGCAACTGCCTTGGGTCGTGGGACTGTTCTTTTCCTGCTGTTTTTAGGAGATTTCGCTCTTGGCTACAATGTCATTCCCTGCAGCCTTCTTGTGACCAAGTCAGTTTAACTTTGACTTGGGCTACAGTTAGTATGCTCTCCTTCACCTTATGTTGTACTGCAGGAAATGCTACAAGTCGAGCTCGTTGTTTGGGGTGCTTTGCTCTCACTCCAGTGACAGAGGGATTGGCCAACTCGTCGAAATCCAATTAGTCAAATAGGGCAGCTCGGCGAAGGGCAATTGCAAATTGCGAAGGCGATTTGTCGACTTGGCTAGAAGACGGTAGAAGGCGAATGTCTTTTTATAATTGTATCTTACTACTTTTTGCCCTCCAGTCTCATACATTTTCTTGACAAAGTAGAGCATCCTGGTTAGGTTAGAATAGTGAAGGGATATCTACAAAAAGGCAAAGATAGAACCGAGCTTTGAGACAAGTGCAGGATTGTGTCATCCTCATACTTTTTTTTTTATCCTTGTTTAATTTGTGCTCTTTGTACGAAATGTCTTCCAGAGTTGCTACCAAGAGTTTTGACCGAAGAAGCAAACATTCTTTTGAACAACATTTTTATGAAGCACCAATAAACCATTTGCCAAATTGCCAAGTGCCAAGGAGCCTGCTGGATTTGTAGTTCCACGTGCTGCGCATGCTTGCATCTGCAGCAGTAGACGTTGGGAGCAAATACCTCTTTGGACGTGCGCTCTTCGTTGCCTTATTTTTGTTATTAACTTCAAATAATTTTGTACACCCAAGAGCAAGCTGCTGTGGCGCATGCAGCTACATTCCCAAAATGCCCTTTGGTGTTTGGGTAATATCGCAAACGCTCTATTGAACCCTCGCCGACAGGACCGTAGACGCCAAACGTACCAATGACAATATTTCTAGTGTGTATCTGTGTTCTGATAAAGGAGCTAATTCCAATATGGCCATGAAGTGGCCTCCGACGATTGACGACGAGTTGGCCTTTTCGACGAATTGTCCTTCAACTAGTCATTCCAATGTGAATTGGCCTATTCAACCAAACGCCCTTCGACAAATTGGCTTTCAACTGTGGCTGTTATTTCTTACCGATTTCGTGCGAGCAACGAGCACCACTCTAGGTTGTGTGCATTGGTCTACATTGATGCCCCCCACGAAAAGGTTGTTCTTAATTTTTGCTTAAACTGAACTCCGCCCACACTATATTGTGAGTACATCCGCCGCTCAATACACCTTCGTAGAAGATGTGTGCTTCCTGCGTACAGGCGCAGCAGACTTTTGCGGTGCGTTTTACAGTGACACCCTATACCAGCGGTGGCCAGGCTGACCCGGCCCAAGAGCCGCAAACAAAACCGCGAAATTTCCAAGAGCACCGGGGGGGGGGGGGGGGGGGGGGGGGGGGGGGCAAACGTCTGCTCAGAGCAATAAACGAAACTGTAACCACTTTCAATCTATCCGAGTCAAAAGCATCCCGACTGTACATAAGGTAGCAGTAGCAGAAGACTACCAAACTGCAACCTGTCTTTCGATATAAAAAGCGTTCCA